CGCCTGCAGTGCCAGCATCCCATATGGGCACTGGCTCAAGACCCAGCTGCTCCACTTCCAATACAGTTCTTTGCTGTGGCCTGGGAAAGCAGTAGAAGATGGCCCAAGTCCTTGGGCCCCTGCACCCGCATAGAAGACTCGGAGGAGGCTCCTGGCTTCGGATCAGCATAGCTCTGGCCGTTGAGGCCAACTGGGGAGTGAACCAGTGGATGGAAGACCTCTCTCTCTCTCTCTCTCTCTGCCTCTCCTTCTCTCTCTGTGTAACTCTAACTTTCAAATAAAAAAAATATTTAAAAAAAAGAAACAAAACATTCAGGCATCCAAAACTGATCAGAGTAAAATGAGCACTGAGATTAACTTAATACTCATGAAATCCCAAGTATGGAAGAACTGGTAATTACCCCACAGGGCAAGAACTGTTCCTATTCCCATTTAACAGATGGGGGGGTCAAGGCCAAGAGACGTAAGTAACTTAACGAAGGTCACACCTCTAATAAGTGAGGACAGTTGAAATATTAACCCAGGAAACCTGGCTCCCAAAATAATACAGGCAAGTATGATGTGGACAAATGTACATAAGGACAACACAACCCACTAAAAGACACAGATCACAAATTAATATTCCTATTGTCATGAGCATTATAGAGCTGACTCCCCAAAAAATGTAAAATTACAAGCTGTGAAAGAAAGAGCAAAGGGTCAAATAGAAAAGCTTAATACCTTTAATTTGTCAGAGAAAGTTGGGGAGAAAAAGCAAAATTACAAAAACGTGTTCAGTAGGGGCCAGGGTTGTGGTGTTGAGGGTCCTGTGACACCAGCATCCCACGTGGGCGCCAGTTCAAGTGCTGGCTGCTCCACTTCTGACCCAGCTCCCTGCTGATACACCTGGGAAGGCAGCAGAGGATGGCCCAGGAGCTTAGGCCCCTGCCACCCAAATGGGAGACATGGATGAAGCTCCCGGTTTCAGCCTGACCCAGTCCTGACCTCCACAACTGCTTGGGGAGTGAAATAGTGTATGGAAGATATCTCCCTCTCTTTCTCTGTGACTCTGCCTTTCAAATAGAATCAATAAACCCTTAAAAAAACAATTTGCACAGTGACAAACTAAAAATAGGCAGAACAAATCTATGAGTTAATAATATTGAGTATCAGGGCCAGTGCTGTAGCGTAGCAGGTAAAGCCACCGCCACTGCGGCATCCCACAGGGGCACTGGTTCAAGTCCCGGCTGCCCTCTTCCGATCCAGCTCTCTGCTATGGCCTGGAAAAGCAGAAGGTGGTCCAAGTGCTTGTGCCCCTGCACCCGCGCAGGAGACCCGGAAGAAGCTCCTGGCTTCGGATTGGCCCAGCTCCAGCCGTTGTGGCCATCTGGAGAGTGAACCAGTGGATGGAAGATCTTTCTCTGATTCTCCCTCTCTGTAACTCTACATCTCGACTGAATAACACATCTTTTTAAAAATATTGAGTATGTAAGCTAGCAATAAAATGACCAGTTGAAAATGCAGACTTTTCTGAATCCAGTGAAATGAAAGAGATGAAAAGAAGCATTTTCCCCAGGTCCGGCTTGTTAATGGTTCCAGAGGAGAAGCTGGGGTTTCCCTGGATGGGATTAGCACCAGAAACTAGAGGGACATTTAAGAGGGCGGGAACAGGAAGAGCTCAAACATGGCAGAAGAGAAAATGACTGGACTACCAGCACATAAACCAAAGAATTCACCTCTCTTGATGAAGCAAGACTGAGACCAAGAGTCTGAGCTGTTACCAAACAATACACAAACACAAGGCAAAAAGCAAGCCTGGGCAGACATCATTTAACTTACAGGAAATAATCAAGAGGCAAGTTCCATGAGGTGGGCCCTGACTGAACTCACTGCTGTGGGATTGACAGCGATGACGGAGATGGCTGCTCGGATGAGCAGGCTCAAACCCTCTTCAAAGTACTGCACAGAACAGGGAGAGCGGCTATGGCTGAGCACAAGGTCTGGAGTGAGATTGAAGGGCAGCAAAACCATTAAAAGTTACAACGCCACTAGTGAGGGTTCATTTTCAGGTACACTAGGCAGAGAAGAGCGTGGAGGCAATGCTGTAAAATTTAAATTACCCGGGGCCAGCACTGTGGCACAGTAGGTTAAGCCTCCACCTGTGGTGCTGGCATCCCTAATGGGCACCAGTTCAAGTCCCAGATGCTCCACTTTCCACCCAGCTCCCTGCTAATGCACCTGGGAAGGCAGTGGAAGACGGCTCAAGTCCCTGGGCCCCTGCACCCACATGGGAGACCTGGAAGAAGCTCCTGGCTCCTGGCTTTGGCCAGGCGTTTGGGGAGTGAACCAGCAGATGGACCTCTCTGTCTATAACTCTACCTCTCCAACAAATCTTAAAAAAATTTAAATTACCCTTCCAGAATCCAAAACAAAAACAGAAGTGGGAAGCCAAACCTATGACAAGACGTGTTATGAACATTCGCTCTCCATTGCCAATTCTTTCTGAAAGATGGTCTAAGACAAGCCTTGTGGCACGAGTCAAACGCTGCACCTACTGACGACAGCTCCAACTCTCCCAGCAGCCGGGTCGCTCAGGGATCTTTCAAATGCTGCCATTTCTAAGACCCCAGTTCAGAACTCGCACTACCACAAAGTGATATCGCCCTTCCTGGCATTCATTTATTTAGTGTCAACAGACAGTGTTCCGTGGCCAGGCAGAATCTGCAAGCCAACTCTACAAAAAAGAAAAAATACATAGTAGCCTGGAGTCACCAACAGCAGCCGTGTTCACCAGAAGGGTGGGATTCAGGCACCCAAGTGCCGAATGACTAAGAGGCTGCCTTTGCAAAGCTGGCTGGGACTGCCCAGAGCCGGGCTGAGCAGGTGCTCCCAGGAAGGGGGCGGGCACTGCACAGCCCTGGGAAGCAGGACGCATCCTGTCGCCCGCAGGGACGACCCACTCGGGCTCAGCCGTATGGTTCCTGATCGCCCCGTGGTTGATATGATTAACAGACGTCCCTTCTTTGTCACCACCTTCTTAGTATAAATAGAGTCAAATGTCAAAGAATATTCTCTTTTATCCAAATATTTATTTTCTTGGCATAAATTTTCATTGATACTTTCACACAATCCTGTCTCGGTTAATTTTCCGTTTTTATTAACTGAGTAGAATGAGCTCATGGCAGCAGCGGCAAACAACATCTGATGACTAATGAAAAACACAACAAGGTCCTGAAAATGTGACCACCGCCAGAGAGACACTTAGCCCTGGCCTTGTCCGACTCGGGGAAGCCCCTCACACACTGATGCCAGCATGGGCGAGAAATCTGCGGCTCTGTGGCGACTCCAGGGAGAGAATGAACCGCTACCAATATTCAAACAAAATTCAAACCGATTCCTCAAACATTCAACTGAGATGGACTGCAACCAGGGAATGGCGTCATCTGGTCAGGCTTTAACTATGTGTCAGAATTTCCCACAGACATCAAAAGCGCTCACTGTGAACAAGTCTGAAATGCCACAGACCTGCACTTGGAGCCGCACCGTGCATATTAGCCTGGCAAGGCTCTGAGAGGCCCTGTGGAAAAGACGCTGATTCCCGGGACAGCAGCTGGAGACCGCATTCAAGTCCCACCTCTGCCTCCAATCCAGCTCCCTGCTAACGCTCACCCTGGACAACAGCAGATGATGGCTCAAGGACTTGGGTCCCTACCACCCACATGGGGAACCCAGATGGAGTTCTGGGGTCCTGTCTTCAACCTGAACCACCTCTGTGGGCATTTAGGGAGTGAACCAGTGGATGGAAGATTTCAACCTGTTTCTGTCTCTGCCTTTCAAGTAAAAGTAAATTTTAAGATTTATTCATTTATTTGAAAAGCAGAGTTACAGAGAGGGAGGGGCAGAGGCAGAGAGGGAGGTCTTCCATCTGCTGGTTCACTCCCCAAATAGCTGCAATGGGCTGAACTGGGCCAATCCAAAGCCAGGAGTGTCTTCTGGGTCCCCCACGCAGGTGCAGGGGCCCAAGCACTTGGGCCATCTTCTATTACTCTCCCAGGTCTTAGCAGAGAGCTGGATTGGAAGTAGATCAGCCAGGACTCGAACCAGTGCCCATATGAGATGCCAGCACTACAGGCAGTGATTTTACTCACTGCGCCACAGTGCCAGCCCATAAAATGAAAATTTTCTAAAAAACTTTAAGAACTCAGATCTGTTAACACACTGATGCTCATACTCACTTGACCACAGAAGCTGTTTTATTTTGTGGAGTATCAGTGATATGATCAACAAAATTTGAGAAATGCCATTCCAAGTAAAATGCAAAAATGCATTACCGTATATGCATTAATTATAAAGAACTAAAATATCAAAAACTAAAATAAAATTTCTTTGATGATTGCAGAATACGAAAGGAAAGTATATTGTTTCAGGTGCAACACATGTTGGTTGACAGTTTTACTTGCTGAAATGACAACCAAATGAAATTTACTCTATACCCAGTGACACCAGAAATAAAGAATTTCACAGTACTCATTGTCACTTAACACAAGCTTCTCATAAAACAGATAAAAAAATGTCAATACGTGGGACTGACATTTTAAGTGCTTGGTAAGAACATATCACAACTATACTTACGTTTTGATTTAAACACCCACTTATCAGAAAACATCAAACCCTGCATCAGAGGTTCACAACCTTCACAACCATCTTCCCTCATGTCACTGACTCTGTCACGAAAATCTACTCATACCAAAACAATGGCACCCACTGAAGAGTATCACAATACTTACCACAATACAAAAAGAATCCAGATCAATGCTACGTACATACTTAGAACATTCTGGATTAGACCAAGTAAGATTTACAACAAGCTGAACAGCATTCTATAAAACAAAAACAAAAAGTCAGTCAGGCTAATTCCATCTGCTTTCTACGCTATCGACTGAGAGTGAGAAAGACGACCGTCTTGGAACTTGATGGCTGAAGAGAATCTGAGCTCCGCATTCCGAGTTATCCACCCCTACCTTAAGAGAAGTTCTTTGGGTAACTTTTTGTTAATAAGGCCTTCATCACTGTTTGAGAAAACCTGAAAGAAAAAAGAAAAGAAATTGTTAAGCTGTTCTTCAACCAGTATGAAAAAAAAAATGTGCTTTTTAGACTGGATCAGAACAGCCTCAATCACGGTCCTGAAAATATGACAATAAATTCATGAAGCTGCCACTTGACAATACTGAGGGGTAGAAAATAGTTCATATTCTATTACCATTTCATTAGAATGTCAACACAAAGCCACTGTATATTACATTACAACAGAGGTTCTAGCCAAGGCAATTAGGCAAGAAATGAAAGACAAACCGACTGGAAAAGACAGACAACCTCTACTTGCACGCGATATGATCGTGCACACAGTAAAGATCCACAGAAATCAAAACTCATCAAGGAGTCAGCAAGTTTGTAAGACATCACATGAAATGTTTTCATTTCCATACACCAGCAGGGAACACTGTGAACATAAACTTAAGAAAACAATCCCATGTACAGCCTCATCAAAATGATTAAAATACTTAGGAATAAATTTAACAAAAAATGTATAAGAACTCCATGCTGAAAACAAGATGCTGAGAGACATCAAAGAAGACTTAAACTGAAAGACACCCTCATTCTGACTTAGAAGATTTGACAGTGTTATGTTAGCAACACTTCCCAAACTAATCCACAGAATTAACGTAATCCCTATTCAGAACCCCAGCTGGACTTTTGTTATTTTGTTCTTTTTTTCAGAAATTGACGCACTGATCCTAAAATTCACATGGAAATTCAAGAGATCAAGAATAGCTAAAATAATCTTGAAAAACAAAATATTTTGAGGATTCAAACTTTACTGCAAAATTCAAAATTTACTACAAAGCTACAGTAATTGGAACACTGTAGTACTGGCACAAGGACAGACATAAAGAATAGATAAGTGGAAGAGAACTGAGAGGCCAGAAATAAACTCACATTGCGGGCAACAGCTTTGTAAACAGGAAGTCGTCTTAAGAAGTGGTGCTGGACCAACGGGACGTTCCCATGCAAACAGTCAAGCTGGGCCTCTACCTCACACCATTCAGAAAGAACACCAAGTCAGCAAAGCTCAGAGACCTGAATGACCATGAAAGATGAAACTGAGAGCCCCAAGAGAACACAGACACTGGCATAGATGACCTTGACTTTGCAACAGTTCCTTGGACGTGACACCAGAAGCACAAGCAAAGGAAAAGAGACGACCAGACTTCACCAAAATCCACAAATTCTGTGCTTCCAGAGCATCACCGAGCGTGGAAAGGAAAACCACCACCTCAGAGAAAATACTCCCAAAACACAAAAAGAAGGGATTTATACCCAGAACAGACACTTCCACAACTCAGAAATAGAGACAATCCCATTAAAAGTGGGTCAAAGATCTGAATAGATACTTACACAAAGAAGGTACAAAAATGACCAATACGTCCATGAAAGCATGCTCAACCTGAGCCACCAGGGAGCCACTTAAGTCAAAACCATAATGATTCTTCACACGCACAAGGACGGCTGGTATTAAAAAAAAGACATTCACAAGTAAGAGTGAGGATGTGGAAAAATCAGCATCCTCACACACTGCGGTAGGAACGTAAAATGGTACAGCCACTGTGGAAAGCAATCTGCAGCTCATCAGAGGTGAGGCAGAATTGCCATATGAAAGGTGAAAATGCCTGGGAAAATGGAATTACAAGTTCAGGAGGCAGTGTCTAGCTGGCCTGCCCACATCCTACACCGAAGCGCCTGGCTCAAGTCACGGCTGCACTTCTGACTCCAGCCTCCTCTTGGGAGGCCACGGGTGATGGCTCAGATGGCTGGGGCCCGGCCATTCACCAGGAGGACGTGCACTCAGTCCCCAGCTCCTGACTTCAGCCTGGCCCAGCCCCAGCGGTGGGTAAATGCAGAGTGAAGCAGCAAGGAGGAGAGCCGCTCATTCTCTCACTCTCAACTTCTCTATATGTCTGCATCTCAAATAAAAACGGTAAGTTTATTTTAGTGCAAATCTCTTTGAAATTCATGCATAGTTTTTTCACAAGATGCATGTTCCATGAATTTTCTTTTCTTTTTTCTTTTTTTCTTTTTCTTTTTTTTTTTTTTTTTTGACTGGCAAAGTGGACAGTGAGAGAGAGAGACAGAGAGAAAGGTCTTCCTTTGCCGTTGGTTCACCCTCCAATGGCCGCTGCAGCCGGCACATCACGCTGATCCGAAGCCAGGAGCCAGGTACTTATCCTGGTCTCCCATGGGGTGCAGGGCCCAAGCACTTGGGCCATCCTCCACTGCACTCCCTGGCCACAGCAGAGAGCTGGCCTGGAAGAGGGGCAACCAGGACAGAATCCGGCGCCCCAACCAGGGCCAGAACCTAGGGTGCTGGCGCTGCAGGCGGAGGATAGCCTAGTGAGCTGCAGTGCCGGCCTCCATGAATTTTCAATGGCATCATTATTTTTTTTTTTGACAGGCAGTTAGACAGTGAGAGAGAGAGAGAAAGGTCTTCCTTCCATTGGTTCACCCCCCAAGTAGTGGCTACGGCCAGCACGTTGCGGCTGACGTGCTGCGCCAATCCGAAGCCAGGGGCCAGGTGTTTCCTCCTGGTCTCCCACGCGGGTGCAGGGCCCAAAGACCTGGGCCATCCTCCACTGCGCTCCCGGGCCACAGAAGAGAGCTGGACTGGAAGAGGAGCAACTGGGACAGAATCCGGTGCCCCAACCGGGACTAGAACCTGATGTGCCAGTGCCGCAGATGGAGGATTAGCCAAGTGAGCCGCAGCACCGGCCTGGCATTATTATTTTTTTTAAATGTTCATATATGGGGCTGGCACTCTGGCACAGCAGGTTAAAGCCCCGGCCTGCAGTGCTGGCAACCCATATGAGCGCCACTTCGAATTCTGGCTACTCCACTTCCAATCCAGCTCCCTGCTAATCTGCCTGGGAAAGCAACAGAAAATGGTCCAAGTCCTTGGGCTCCTGCACCCACGTGGGAGACCCGGAAGAAGCTCCTGGCTCCTGGCTTTGGATTGGCTCAGCTCCATCCGTTGTGGCCATTTGGGGAATGAACCAGTAGATGGAAGACCTCTCTCGCTGTCTCTCCCTCCCTCTGTAACTCTTTCAAGTAAATAAAACAAATCTTAAAAAAGTTCTATTTTCTTTTTCTTTTTTTTTTAAATTTATTTGAAGGGCACATCAACAGAGAGAGAGAGGGGGGCAACAGAGATCTGTCTCCTGGTTAAGTCACCGGATGCCTGCAACATCAGGGACTGGGACAATAGCTTGACTGGGCTGATGCAAAGCCAGGACCCTGAACTCAATCCAGGTCTCCCATAAGTATGGCAGATCCTCAAGTGCGTGAGAGATCCTCTGCTAACACCCAGGGTGTGCATTAGCAGGAAACTAGATCAGAAGCAAGAGAATCCAGGAATCAAATCTTTGGGCTGCAGGCATCCCAAATCCCTGCTCAACCCCACTGTGCCATGACGCCCACTCCTCCATAAACTTCTTTAAGACCCCTGGGAAGCATGGAGTTTGGCTTTGTTTTTTATTTTGGCACCAAAATACACTTAACAGTTAATTCCATTTTCCATGAACATTTTGAAGAATCTTGCATATCAAAACTCATGAGAAGCTAAAATATATATCCACACAAAAAATGTGTATATGAATGTTCACAATGGCATTATTTGTAACAGTTAAAAAGCAGAAATAATTCAAATGTCCATCAACTGATGAATGATGAAAAAAATCACTGGAGTACCCCTGAGCACAAAGAAATAATACTGTTACACGTCACAACAGGAATGAGCCTTGAAAACACACCACTGAGTCCTGCACAAGGCGCTTAAGGAGGTGAGGACACAGAAACATGGTCATCACTGTGAAAGAAGGCAAAGGAAGAAAATCTCTCAGTAAAAGATCACAGGAAGTTCAAAGTAAAATCAGGAATATCTTTGGAAAAATGGCAGGGCAAAGTCATTGCTTATCAATAGTCACCTTGAATGTAAATGGCCTCAACTCCCCAGTTAAAAGACAGACTGGCTGAATGGATTAAAAAAACAAAATCCATCTATTTGCTGCTTACAAGAAACACATCTTTCCTACAAAGATGCATGCAGACTGAAAGTGAAAGGTTGGAAGAAGATATTCCATGCCAACAGAAACCAAAAAAGAGCTGGCATAGCCATCTTAATATTGGAAAAAACAGACTTTAACACAAAAGCTTTTTTTAAATTTATTTTTATTTTTTTGACAGGCAGAGTTAGGCAGTGACAGAGAGAAAGGTCTTCCTTCCATTGGTTCACCCCCCAAATGGCCACCACAGCTGGCGCGCTGTGCCAATCCAAAGCCAGGAACCAGGTGCCTCTTCCTGGTCTCCCATGTGGGTGCAGGGCCCAAGGACTTGGGCCATCCTCCACTGCACTCCCAGGCCACAGCAGAGAGATGGCCTGGAAGAGGGGCAACCGGGACAGAATCTGGCACCCCGACCAGGACTAGAACCCGGGGTGCCGGCGCCCCGGAGGATTAGCCTATTGAGCCACAGCGCTGGCCAACACAAAAGCTTTTAAAAGCGACAAAGAGGAGCACTATATAATGATTAAGGGATCAATTCAACAGGAAGATGTAACTATTATAAACATATGCACCTAATCATAGGGCACCTGGCTATTTAAAAGAAATGTTAAGGGATTTAAGGGGACTTAGACTACAATACAATAGTATTGCAGAACTACAATACTTAGAGCAATGGGCAGATAAACCAGACATAAAATCAACAAGGAAACAGCAGAATTAATCGACACTATAGACCAAATGGACCTAACAGATATCTACAGAACTTTTCATCCTACAGTTGCAGAATACACATTCTTCTCACCAGTGCATGGAACTTTCTCTAGGATTCACCATATACCAAACCATAAAGCAAGTCTCAGCAAATTCAAAAGAATTGAATTATACCATGCATCTTCTCAGACCACAACGGAATGAAGCTGGAAATCACCAACTCAGGAATCCCTAGAGCATACGCAAACATGTGGAGACT